CGGCTGCCCGCCTCTGCTCGCCGCGGGGAGCGTGCCGCCGCTCTTGGGGAGGTGCCCTCGGAGCCCTGCCCTTAATGAACATGTCAGTTGGAGCTCCGCCTCTGCTGTCACTCAAGATGGCGACCGGAAGTCGGGTCCTGCCCTAACTGAAAATGACTGCAGTTGCAATGCTCCCTCTTCCCGTAAGCAATATGGCTGCCCCGGCTTCAGCGGGCGTGTTGGAGGCTAGGAACTGCCTCCGAGGTTCCACATTCAGGGCAGCTTCTCTAAACCGAGGGGTGGCGCTAGAGAACTATCTGGACAGCGGTGTTACTCTCCAGTTTATAGACAGGCTTGAACCCAGGTCTCAGTGCATCCTTCCCGTTTTCCTCCAGGCTTGTACAAATTAAGCACAAAATACAAAAGTTATCCACCCCTGTGGATTTAAATGTCGAATGGAAATGGAAGGTTCTCAATTTAAAAATATATATTTATTTAATTAAAATTATTTATTTTAATTTGACCAGAGAAATACAGAGAGAGGGACCAGCAGTTAACGTAATGGCTATGTTGCTGGACTCCCATGTAGTCGACTGTGGTTTGAGTCCCGGACCCAGTGGCTTAAAACTCACGCCGGGCGCGTGTGCGTGCGTGCCCAAGATCCCTAGAGGAGAGTGGAGGAGAAGGGATTGCGGTGTGACCATCCCCCCTGGGGGGTGATTTCTTACTTTCTGTCTCTGTCTTTCTGGCGAGCGCACACTCCCTATAGCAAAAACCTCTCCAAAAAAAAAAAAAAAGACATACAGAGAGAGAGACTAGAGTCCAGTGCCTTAACCACCACGCTTCCTGCTGGCTCCAGTTCCCAAAATTTTATCCAAAATTCTACTTCTTCCAATAATGCATAGATATTATGCCTGCTATTCAACATCACTTTTCCTCAAACCCAACTCAATTTCCACCAGCTATTGTAGAATATCAGCTCCATGAGAGCAGAGCCAAGTTTCTTTTACTGCTGAATTTCTAGTATTTCCCAGACTGGCACATACTAGTATACAGTCAATAGCTGTTGAATAAGTGAATGAAAGTATAGGTAGGGACCGGCAGGTGGTGCAGTGGTTAAGGTACTGGACTCCCACATGTCCAAATATTGTTCAAGTCCCAGACCTGGTGGCTTATTTTCTTTCTCTGTCTCTGTCTCTCTCTGGTCAAAATAAAAGATAAATAATAATAGCAAATAAAATGAAATAAATGAATCTTTTTTTTCTTTTTTTGGAGAGGTTTTATGCTATAGGGCGCATGGCTCGCCAGAAAGACAGAGAGAGACAGAGAGACAGAAAGTGAGAAATCACCCCCCAGGGGGGATAGCCACGCCGCAATCCCTTCTCCTCCATTCTCCTCTCTGAATCTTGGGCACGCACCTACATGCGCCCGGCATGAGTTAAAGCTCCCGGGTCCCGGACTTGAACCACAGTCGACTACATGGGAGTCCAACGACACAGCCATTACGCTAACTGCTGGTCCTACCAAAAATAATATGTTTGGGGGCTGGCAGGGGGCATGGTGGTTAAGAGCACTGGACTCCCATGTGGCCACCTGCAGTTTGAGTCCTGGACCTGGTGGCTTGCTTTCTCACTTTCTCTCTCTCTCTATTCTCCTCTCCCTCTCTCTTGCTCCCTCTCAGGTCAAATTAAAATAAACAAATAAATAAAGTTAAAGAAAATAATTCTTTAAAAATGATGTATTTGTGGCTCAATGGACATATTAGTGGATTTTATTATATATATATTTATCTTTTTAGTTGTATCTCTTTTAGTTTCTTCAGAGAGCATGTGTGCTTACCTAAAGGGACAGAGGGAGAGGGAGAAGAAAGCACTCCTCAGTGGGGTATGGTCGGGCCACAATTTCATCTACTCTATTTCTCCAGCCTGCTGAGATTCTGGCCACCCATTCACACATGCCCAGAGCATTTCTGAAACCTCTGGGTCTGAAATTAAAATCAGTAGGCCGTATGGAATCCAGCTTCCTTAACCACCTATCTATATACATGGCTATAGATAGATACTTTCATTTAATGGGTCCCATGTATCTATTTAGGTTATTTTTAGTATTTGTTTACCACCACTAACAATGCTACAATAAAGATCCTTAACTATATTTTCTTTTCTTTGCTTTTTCTTTTTTTTTTTTTTTTTGAGAGCTTTTTTTAGAGATTTGAGCTATAGGGCGCATGCTCTCACTAGACAGACAGAGAGAGACAGAGAAACAGAAAGCGAGAAATCACCCCCCGGGGGAATGGCCACACTGCAATCCTTTCTCCTCCGTTCCCTTTGATCTCAGGCATGCATGCACACGTGCCCAGCGTGAGTTAAAGCCACCGGGTTCGGGACTCGAACCGCGGTCGACTACATGGGAGTCCAGCAACATAACCATTATGCCATCTGCTGGTCCCTAAGAGACTTTTCTTATAGGGTACATGTGCTCACTAGAGACACAGAAAGAGAGAAATCACCTCCCAGGGGATGGCCACGCCGCAGTCCCTTTTCCTACATTCTCTTCCCTGGATTTTGGGCACGCATGCACACACATCTGGCGTGAGTTTTAAGCCGCTGCATCTGGGACTCAAACATGGTCGACTATGTGGGAGTCAAGCTGTAACCATTAAATTTTTTTTAAAGGTTTTTACCATAGGGCATGTGCACTCACCAGAAAGAGACAGAAACAGTGAGAAGTGAGAAATCATCACCAGAGGGGATGGCCACACTGCAATCGCTTCTCCTCCATTTTCCTCCTGGGATTTTGGGCATGCACGCATGTGCACCTGGCATGAGTTTCAAGCAGGACTCAAACTGCAGTTAGCCATGTGGGAATTCAGCACCTCAACCACAACACCACCTGCTAGCACCAAACTATATTATATACAGTTATTTTATTTCTAAATCTTTTTAAAAGGATTATTTAATTTTATCATTAATTATCATTATTTTAACAAAAGAGAGTCAGAAAGGGAAAGTGAGAAAGCAAGCCACCAGGTCTGGGACTTGACCCATGGTCGGTCATGTGGGAGTCCAGCATCTTAAACACCACACCGCCTGCCAGCTGCCCACTTGTTTTATAATTAATTGATTTATTATTATCATAATCTTGTTTATATTACATTGAATCACAAATAACTTTATGGTGTATTACATTTCTTTTCCCAGAAGGAATACCATGCATATCAGTCAATAGAGACATTAAAATTCCCATCTTCATCATCCAATAATGTCCCGACCCGGGGAGACAGCCGAACAGGTTTCCTGAGTGAAGGAGTGAGAGCTGGTCACAGAAAGGAACAGAGTGAGAGAAAGAGAGAGATAAAGTGAGAAAGCAAGCCGCCAGGTCCAGGATTCAAACCGCGGTTGCACATGTGGGAGGGGGTTCTGCCATCCTTAACAACCCTGCCCCCCGCCAGCCCCCATTTTTTTTTTTTTTTTTTGTCTTTTGACTTTAAAATATGGAACACTTCACAAATTTGCGTGTCATCCTTATGCAGGGGCCATGCTAATCTTCTCTGTATCTTTCCTATTTTAGTATATGTGCTACCGAAGCGAGCACCCATTTTTTTTTCTTTTTTTTTTGTGAGCGTTTTTTTCTTATTGGGTGCATACGCCCGCCAGAAAGACAGAGAGAGACAGAGAGATAGAAAGCGAGAAATCACCCCCAAAAGAGGATGGCCATGCCGCAATCCCTTCTCCATTCTCCTCTGGGGATCTTGAGCATGCGCGCACACGCACCTGGTGTGACTTTAAGCCACCAGGTCCAGGACTCGAACTGCGGTCGACTACATGGGAGTCCAGTAACATAGCCATTATGCCAACTGCTGGTCCCAGCGCCCATTTAAAAAAATTATTTAATTTCATTTGTTATTCTTTTTTAATCTGACCAGAGAGAGACAGAATATATATATATATATATATATATTTTAATTATTTTACTTTATTTTTAAAATTTGGCCAGAGAGGGAAGAGAGAGAGGGAGAAAGTGACAAAACAAGCCACCAGTTCCATGACTCGAACCACGGTTGGCCATGTGGGAGTCCAGCGCCCTTAGCTACCACACCACCTGTAGGCCCCCCGTAAGAGATATAGTCTGGATATTACTCTCTTATCAGATACATGATTTACAAATATTTTCTCCCATTTTTTGGGTTGCCTTCCATCCTCTTCCCAGTCTCTGCATGTTTCTAGCCTACAAAATGCTTCTAGGCCTCATGAGAACTCTTCCCCCTGCCTTTCCTCCTTTCTCCAGGCTTTGGTCCAGTCCCATCCTCTTCTGCCTAGATCCCTACCTCCTGCCTACCTGAGATCTCTGCCTCCAGGCCTCAGCCATCCTTCGCAGGGTGGTCAAGGGCATTTTCCTACATCTATCCACATTCTTTGGCTTTTTGGCTCTGAATGCTCCCATGATTAACCACAAGCATCACACCTCAGGGGTCTTGCCTGCTCTGGATGTTGGCTAACTCACCAGGAAATACCTGGTCCAGGTCCCTCCCCTGGTGCCTCGTAAAATAAAGGAATTGGGGTATGGGGAGGTGACTGGTGACACCTGTGGGTTCTTCACCCAAGGCCCTGTGGAGAGGCTGGAGTCAAGATTAATGAGTAGACAAGGAGTAGAGTATGGAAGCTCCATTTGCCTTTTGCCTGTCCAGACTCTTACCTCCTCCTGACAGCACATTTTCCTTATAAAAACGGTGCCCTCCTGGACACACAAACAAGAGATTAGGGGGGGATTGACTCTGCCTCACCTCCAGGAGTGGGCTCTGATTGGCTTAAACCAACTGAGGTTCTCATTCTTCTGACAATATGACTGGTAGAGTGGTGACCCAGTGACCCAAATCCCTCTAGTCAGAGGGACTGACAGGACTTTTAGCTGGGAATATTAGAACCCAGCAGCTCCTTTCTCTGGACAATATCACATGTGGATGTGCAGCCTCAGATGGTAAAGGTAGTTGCCCTAAGGTCAGAGATCACACTCAAGAGGACAGAGCAGGGAAAACTACAGAGAAACAGCCAGAAACCTGTGCACATTGAGAACTTCTGGATCAAACTATACCTGAAGCTGGTATTAACAGAGCCATAAATTACAGTTTCCATGTAGACAATGTGAAATGATTCCGACTGGGAACTAAAATAAAAATCCTAACCTCTTTAGTGTCCTTTTTGTAAGTCACTACATATTGTTATTCAAAATATTTAACAACTATTACAGCAGGGGCACCAATCAGAGTAGAATGCAGATCGCAGGACCCTGGGGAGATCTGGCATACTCTGCAGAAGAGGCCGAGCTAACAGGCACACAGAGAAGTCACTATTTAGCAGCTGGCATTGAGAGATTTTGATTTTTTTTTTTTTTTTAGATATATAGGGTATGTGTACTCGCCAGAGAGACAGAAAGCAAGAAATCACCCCCCAGGGGTGATGGCCACACCTCAATCCCTTCTCCTCCATTCTCCTCTCAGGATTTTGGGCATGAACGCACACTCGCCCGGCATGAGTTTAAGCTGCTGGATCTGGGACTTGAACTGTGGCCGACTACATGGAAGCCAGCAACGTAACCATTACACTATCTGCTGTCCCCTGACATTTTGATATTTTACTGACCTGTGAGGCTGTTATTTGTACAACCCAACTGAATATTACCCCTTACAAGGTCCCACGGCTGGTCTCGAAATGAGACTTTATTTAGGTCTGAATGAGAAATGAATATTCAAGCAAAACAGAGAGGCCTGGGATGGAGGACAGATTGTATTTCCAAGATGGACCTAGTAGGGGAGGCTTGGGGGTGGCTAGGGGTTGGGACCGACAAGAGACTCAGGTTGGCAACTTCCTCCTGAAGGTCTCCTTGGGTTTATTTCCCCCTGCCTTGTGGGGAACTTTAGAGGTGTCCTTCCTTGAAGGTTCCCACGGAACCAGGTGGTGTGGTGAAGACTTTAGAAGTGGCGTAGCTGTAGTAGGATTCTGAGGTGATCATGTTGTTGATCTTCCAGCGGAGTATGCTGCAGACCTTTATCATGTAGGGCCACAGGAGGCAGATGATGATGTAGAGGAGCACCAGGCCCAAAAATATGCTGGAGGACACCTTTAGGCATGGTGCGGCAGGCGTGAGTGCTCAGCCTGGGGGCCCCTGCCCACCCAGCAGGGCAGCTCCTAGGCAGCCACTCACAGTGAGAATGAAGAGGGCCCGCTTGGCACTGAGGGGGAGCCCATGGATGTGCAGCAGGAAGGTGAGCTGGTAGTCACAGTACGTACTCTCGTCCACGTCTCTGGCAAAGGATGGGGTCCAGGATTGGGGGAGTGGCTGGGCACCTGACCCCCACCTGGGCCACATGCCTGGCTTACCTATTGCTCACCAACACCTTGAAGAAGAATTCAGGGGCGAAGATGCTTTGGGGAATGGTGTCATGGCACGGTGAATTCTCCAGACAGAGCCACCTGGGAGCCCAAGGGTAAGCACTTGTACTGCCAACCAAGCCCAGTTTGTGCCAACCCCTGGTGTCCTCCACCCCCAACACACACACTCTTGGTGAGCACCAGCCGGGTGCAATCTCATGCCTTCTCTCATTCAGTCCTTCATTCGTTCGTCCATTAATGGTTACTAAACGTCTCCCTTGCCACAGATTGTCTGTCTCCTCATCCACTTCCTCCTGCTTCCTGCTTCCATCTGTCAATTCATTTCCTTTTACTTTCTTCTTTTATTTTTATTTTTGGCTAGAGGGCGCACACACACTCGCCAGAGACAGAGAAAGTGAGAAATCGCCCCCTGGGGGGGGGGGGGGAATGCACATGCCACAATCCCTTCTCCATTCTCCTCTCAGGATTTTGGGCACGCAACACACCTAGTGTGATTCTCAAGCTGCCCAGGCCAGAACTCGAATCATGTGGTCAGCCATGGGGGATCCAGTGCCTTAACCTCCTCGCCACCTGCTGGCCCTGTCAATTCACTTCTGAATGTGCACTAGTCCAGATTATGGATTGTGTACCTATTAAGTGTCAACTCATTCTTTATTGCCTTCATTCCTTCATCCCACAAATATGGGTTGAGCATATAATGCCTCATCTTTTATTTATTTTCTCCTTTATTCACTATTTAATAAACACAGGCTGGGACCAGCAGTTGGCGTAATGGCTATGTTGCTGGACTCCCATGTAGTTGACCATGGTTTGAGTCCCAGACCCGGTGGCTTAAAACTCATGCTGGGTGTGTACGTGCCCAAGATCCCAAAAGAATGGAGAAAAAGGGATTGAGGCATGGCCATCAACCTCTGGGGGATGATTTCTCGCTTTCTGTCTCTCTGTCTCTTTCTGGTGAGTGCACATACCCTATAGCAAAAACAAACAAACAAACAAAAAACAAAAAAACACAGGCTGAATACTGACTAGGTAAAAAACTTAGTTTGTTCAGGGGACTAGCAGATGGCATAATGGCTATGTCACTGGACTCCCATATAGTCGACCACAGTTCGAGTCCTGGACCCGGTGGCTTAAACTCACGCCAGGTGCGTGTGCATACATGCCCAAGATCTCAAGAGAATGGAGAAGGGATTGCAGTGTGGCCATCTTCCCTGCGGGGGTGATTTCTCACTTTCTGTCTCTCTGTCTCTCCCTGTCTTTCTGGCGAGCGCACACGCCCTATAGCAAAAACCTCTCCAAAAAACAATTTAGTTTGTTCATTAATTCACTGCCTTCACTTGCTTATAGCATAGTTTTCTTCCTTTCATTATAAAAATAGTTATTGAGAGTCCAGCAGGTGGCATGGAGGTAAAGATGTTGGACTCCTACATGGCCGACCATGGTTTGAGTCCTGGACCTGTGGCTTGAAACTCATGCTGGGCACATGTGAAGTCGTACCCCAAATCCCGAGAGGAGAATGGAGAAGGGATCCTGGGGATGATTTCTCATTTTCTCTCTCTCCATCTTTCTCTGTCTCTCTCACATGCACCCTATAGCAAAAATATTTTTTTAAGAATTATTTTATTTAAGTATTTTTGTTTGTTTTAATTTGATCAGAGAGGGACAGAGCAAGAGTGAGAGCAAGAGAGTGAGAAGGAGAGAGGGAAAGTGAGAAAGCAACCCACCAGGTCTGGGACTTGAACCTCAGTCGATCATGTCCAGTGCCCTTATCCATCATGCCACTTGCTGGCCCCTAGCAAAAATCTTTCTCCCAAAATAGTGGAACCAGCAGATGGTGTAATGGTTATGTTACTAGACTCCCAAATGGCTGACTGCAGTTTGAGTCCCAGAGCTGGAATCTTGAAATTCACATGAGGTGCAAATGCTTGTGTGCCCAAAATCCTGTGAGAAGACTGGAGAAGAAGGGATTGCGGTGTGGCCATACCCCTCAGGGGGGTGATTTCTTGCTTTCTGTCTCTATGTCTCTCCAGAAACACACATAATATAGCAAAAATTATTATTCTCCACGTATAATAAAAATCTTTTAAAAAGTTATTAAATCCCTATACACTAATTTGTCCCTTGTTTTTATTCGTTTGTTAACATTTCCATTCAAATGCCAATAAGTGCCTTCTATGAATTACATTATTCATTTGCTTGTTCTCTCACTCAAAATACTCGTCAGGAACTCCCAGGAGGGAGACAAGCCCCACATGAAGCGGTGACACCAGAGTGGTCAGAGCTGGGATGCTGAGCACAGCCAGAGCTATCAGGCAGAATAGGAGGAGCACAAGGGGCTGCGTGGGAGTGCTCCAGGTCCCTGGGCCCAAGAGGAGAATGGAGAAGGGATTGCTGCGTGGCCATCCCTCCTGTGGATGACTTCTCACTTTCTGTCTCTCCCTCTGCCTCCCTGGCCAGCACATGCATCCTATAGCAAAAATCTCTCTCAAAGAGAGCCAAGAGGGGGTCACTGTTCCATCCTGAAAGTCAGAAAAGCCCTAGACGAAGGGACATCTGAGCTAAAGTGTGAAGAAAGAGTAGGGGGCAATTCAGAGGGCCCAGTTTGTGCAGAAGTCAATCCTGCTGAGGAGTACAGTCAGCCTGACTTGGAGATTAAGCCTCCCAGAAACGGAAAGGATGGGCAGGTCTGATGGACTGTGGGCCTGCGGGGGCTCAAGGGGGCCTTGCAACTAGGCCGCTCACTCACTCGATGCCCTGGCTCTCATAGGACAGTATGTGGAAGGCCAAGTCCTTGGTGGTCCGTGAGGTCGTCGTGGTCCAGATCAGGCTGTTTGTCCTGTGCAGGACCGCATGCTATCAGCGGGGCGGGGTGCACCCTGGGCTGCAGTGGTGGAGAGGTGCACGGGGTGGGCAGGGGCGGCAGGGGTGGGCGGGGCCTGAGATAGGAGGAGGCTGGGGTTTGCAGCGAGCGCGAGGTCTGCAGGGGCCAAGCTCGAGCGCGGTTCAGGGAAAGGCAGGCAGGGTAGGGCGGGCCCCGCAGGGATTACTTGTTCAGCGGGCTGTTGTAGCGGTAGATTTCCTCCTCGCTGTAGTCCCTCAGACCGCTCAGCGTGGGCCCGCCGCCCACCACCTTCAGCACATAGCTGCAGGGTGAAGTGCGCAAAGACCAGCCCTGAGGTCCGGAGTCCGCCTCCCCTCCTTTCCCTTTCCCTTGCTACAGGCGGTCATGCTTTTACCTTCCCGTAAAACTGCCCGAGTCGCCTGTCACCAAATCTTGAATCAAGAAGAAGGGGTAGAACACTGCAGAGTCGCAGGGAGTTGAGACCAAGGGAAGAAAATTAGCTTGGTCCGAGACATGGAGGACCGAGAGAGGAGGAAGGGGAAAGGATGGAGGACCGAGGATCGTAGCTGAGGACAGCTGCACCGTGGGGAGGTGACAGAGGAGGGCAACGTGGCAGGGACGAGAGGGACTGAACTTTGGAGAGGAAGGGACTAGACACACACTGTCACGGAAGAGAAAGCAGGGCATCTCGGGGTCCTTGTGCACGCAGTCGAAGTAGTGTTTGTTCCGCATGCGGCTGTACTCCAGGGTGTAGGTGATATCGAAAGCCAGGCGCTTGCCAGGTGGGCAGCCAATATACATTGGCATCATCAGATTGCCCTGAGTGGGAAGAGGAAGTCTTGTGGTGGGGATGGCCAAGGTCTTCTCAGGTCCTGCTAGACTTGGAGTGGATCAGGAAGGACACTCACTCCTACACTCACCACCACTACCCAGTACACCTCACCACCAATGACAAAAAGATCATTGTTATCATTAAAATGCTTGAGGGACCAGCAGATGGCGTAATGGTTACATTGCTGGACTTAGTGGACCCAGTTGGATTCCAGGACTGGTGGCTTAAAATTCAAGCGCGAGGAGGAGGCAGAGGGGCATGTGCATGCGTGCCCAAAATCCTGAGAGGAGAATGGAGGAAAAGGGATTGCGATGTGGCCCCCCCCCCGTCAGCGTGTGTACACGTGTGTGTCTGTTATTTCTCTCTGTGTTTCCAGCGAGCCTTCACACTCTATAGCAAAAATCTCTCTTAAAAAAAAAAAAAAAAGGCAAAAACAATACTGGGGCAGGCAGGTGGCCTCTTGGTTAGAGTCATCAGACTCCCATGTGGTGGACCATGAATCAAGACCCGGACCTGGCAGCATGCTTTCTCACTTTCCCTCTCTCTGTCTTTTCCTGGTCAAGTTAAAAATAATAATAATGGGCCCAGCAGGTGGCATGGCGGTTAAGGTGCTGGATACTCCCACATGGCCTACCGTGCCTGGACCTGGTGTTTCTCTCTCTCCCTCCCTCTCTCTCTCTCTCTCTCTCTCTCTCTCTCTCTTTGTGTGGCTCTCTCTGGTCAAAAAAGGAATGGATAAATAAATAATTTACAATAATAATAATAAAATAAAAAATAAATAATTCTTAAAAAAAGAAAAACCACAATACTTGAGGGACCAGCAGGTGGGGTAGTGGTTAAAGTGTTGGACTCCCACACTACGGACTGCAGTTCCTTGAAATTCAAGCCAGTGCTTGTTCGTGACTGCCCTGAGTCCCGGAAGACAATGGAAGAGATGGGATTGTTGCATGGCCATCCCTCCTAGGGGTGAGTTCTTACTTTCACTGTTTCCCCAGCCAGCACATATATCCTATAGCAAAAATCTCTTAAATAAATAAATACATACTTGGGAGGCCGACAGGTGATGTGGTGGCTAAGGCACTGGACTTCCACATGGTTGACCATGGTTCAAGTCCCAGACCTGGCAGCTTGCTTTCTTACTTTCTCTTCCTTTCTGGTCAAATTAAAAAATAAGATCATAATAACAAATAAAATAAAATAAAAAATCTTTTAAAAAAATACTTGGTAACTACAGTCACTTATGGAGCTCTGCAGAGCAGGCACTGTGTGATGTTCTAAGACCTTTATGTAGTCAAAATCACGTAAGCCTCGAAACAGCTTTGCATGGTAGAGACTGTGAATGTTGCCATTTTAGAGGTGGCAATCTGAAGCAGAGAGAGGCCAAGCAACTTACTAATTTTTCAAAGCCATACAGCTGGTAAGTGGTAGAGTTGCAATTACGTGAGTTTCTCCAGTCACCTCCGGAATGAGAGGTACCAGTCCACTGACACCTACACTTATGGAGCACCAACTCCTAGTCAGACTTTATAAGTCTGAAGTTGGTCCTGAATGCTCAAATAATAGACCTGAGAACAAAAGATATGAAGAGACTGGAACTTCGGATGGGACCCCCTGACATTGTCTTCAGAACGAAGAGTCCTGGGGCCATTTTTTTTTTTTTTTTTTTTTTTTTTTTTTGGGGGGGTTTT